ATCATCGATCATGAGAATGATTTGAGGAACTGATATCAATATAACGCGAGAACCCATTGAGTTTATTATAAAATATTGACATAAACTTTTATCTAACATGTGCAAGAAAGGACACAGCGTTGTGCGACAACTTCGAAAAAGATAAGAGAACAGTATTAACAAGATACACTATGAGGTATATGAAATTATCTCACTCACCAACAAAGTTATTTGCAAGAAACGTAAACTGTGAGTGGATTTCAAAATGCATTTTTTCTTTTCTGACGTTATTCAAACTTCAGTGTGTCGGTATACACTGATTTCTTTTTCAATCAAATGAAAATTCTCATCGCTGAACTTTTGTCATATGCACATGTAGTAAAGCATAAGATCTTATACAATGCTGAGCGTTATAAGGTGGATGTAACTAAAAAGTTTCTAAAATCTGCTTCTCTTATTCGTTTTCTAGAATGGCTAATATGAAGAATGATATTGTCATTTATGATTACATCATTATTGGAGGTGGAACGAGTGGTGCAGTTGCAGCTCGACGTTTGGCCGAGGGAAAAGATCATTACAATGTGTGTCTTATAGAAGCTGGTCCCAGGTTTGTCCTTTTGTACACTACTCTCTTATTTTGAATGAGTCATTCTTTGTCACAGTCACGAAGGTATAGACAACAGTCGAATGCCTGGTGGTCTACCAGCGCTGTTTCAGGAGAATCTGATCGATTGGGGCTACGAGATGGTTCCTCAAAAAGGATGCGGCAATCGTGTTCTAGCCGCTTCACGAGGTCGTGTTCTTGGAGGTTGCAGTGCACTCAATGGCACAGTATTTACCCGAGGTGCTAAAGCCGATTATGATCGAATTGCTGACATGGGTAATCCAGGATGGAGTTGGAATGACATGATGCCTTACTTTAAAGCATCTGAAACATTTCATCCAGCTGAGTGGCACCAAGCAGACTTGTCTGCTCACGGTACTGATGGACCTCTGCATACGGAACCACAACCTCTAGCGCCTATCTCCGAAAAAGTTCTTGAATCCTTTATCGATCAAGGCTTTGAATACAAACCGGATATGTTTATTCAAGGTGAATACGAAGGTTTGTTATGCTTATATTACACTATAAAGTGTTGATATCAGGCATCCTTAGGTGTTGGACATGCTGTTCGCACAATTCACAACGGTGTTCGGACTACAAGTGCAGATTTTGTGCACAATTGTAAGATGGCAAACCTCACCGTTAAAACGAATACATATGTAGACCGAATTATTCTGGAAAAAAACAATACAAACAATAGAGAAAATCGTGAATACAAGGCAGTCGGCGTAAAAGTACATGACAATACAAATAGTCAAGGAATAACCATCAAAGCGAGAAAAGAAATTATCTTGAGTGCTGGGTATGTTAAATGCCTGAAAATTCCAATGTATTTATATGAACGAAAGAGATTCTTATTTAGTGCTTATAACTCTCCAATAATCTTGATGCACTCCGGTATTGGTCGAAGAGATCATCTCACCGAAATGAACATCGACTGTAAGATTGATTTGCCTGGTGTTGGTGAAAATCTCTTGGATCATCCGATCGTATGCAACATTTTTCTCCATTCATTTATAGCATAATTTACGTTGCTGTCTAGGTTTATACATCTTACCAACTAAAGGATCCCAATCTCACGCTCGATCGGTTTTTCTACCATAGTCCAGACACTCTCGCATTATCGATCAAAGAATGGCATGATACTAAAACAGGACCCATGACAAAATTTATATTTGGTTGCTTTGCACTTAAACGAATTGACAAAACGATTCAGGACCCCATTTGGGAAGCTGCAAAATCCGAGCAGCAATGCGATGATCCAACCGGACAGTTACCTAATCAACCTCACATCGAGTTCTTCAATACTGAACTATACATTGTTCCACCCGACCTTCATCCGCAAAGTCAGTCAATTACGTTCTCTTCAGTTTTTCTTTCGAACCTGGATGATTTTAGCGAAATAAGAGCAAAAATGAGGAAATGTTATGTCACGAAGGAAAAAGCAGATCCTGGATCCACAGGATCCAATGGCTTCTCATGGTTCCTCGTAGATGAAGGGAAAAAGCAGACCATGATGGATCCTGAAGCCTTGAGAATACATCTAGGTCTATCAAGACGGGAAATTCTGGTTTCTGATGAATTCTGAAACCTTCAGAGTTCATAACAACTTATGAGAATTCATGAAAGTCCACTGGGAGTCATGGAGATCCACGGGAAGCCATGGAGAGCTACGGAGTGCCATGGAAACTCACAGGGAACAACGGGGAGCTATGGGAATTCACGGGGCCTCATAGCTCCCCGTGGAACCTGTGGTTTCCCATAAATTCTCATAAGTTGTTCTGAACTCTGACGGTTTAAGGATTCATCAGAAATCAGTATTTTTCTTCTTGATAGACTTAGATAGATTCTTAAGGCTCCAGGATCCATCAGGATCTCCCTTTTCTTCCTTGTGAGATGTACTATATATTCAAGGATTTTTGCTTATCTTCGTGGATCGAGAATAGGATCGTTTTAAAGAATTTTTTGTCAGAATGAATCTGCTAAATATTTATTGCATTGTAGCGTAAGGAATATGAGAGTACAGCATAAACAACATATGTGATGGTTTCGATTTTATATATATAGGTCCATCCAATGGCGAAGGTGTCTTTACACTAATCACTCTTCTCTGTGGACCGCAAGCGAGAGGCACCGTTCGATTGTCGTCCAGCGATCCGACAAGCAAGCCAATTATCGATCACGCCTATTTTGACAATGATCTCGATGTGGCTGTGCTTGCTGAAGGTTGTCGACTCGCTCACGAAGTGTTAATGAAAGGGCGAGGAACAAAAGATATTATCATTGGCGCTTGGCCAAAAACGACTTCTTATCCAACAGATTTGAACGGTTGGAAAGAACATGTACGAGCACTTTCCGGCACCTGCTGTCATGCGAGTGGTACATGCAAGATGGCACCCAACAATGACCCGATGGGAGTAGTTGACAATCGTCTTCGTGTGCGAAATGTCGAAGGCTTGCGAGTAGCGGATGTTTCCATTCTGCCTATTCTCAATAGTGGACATCCACAGGCGCCTGCGTATGCCATTGGCGAAAAGGTGGCGCATATGGTTTTGCAGGATGCTGAAACTGGAAAATCGTTTTAAGAAATTTCAACGATTCCGTACTTGTCAAAATATTAAGAGAACAGCTCTCTCTTTATTAAATCATCGTGATTAGATTGATTTCTTTTGCGTCTATCAGTACTTGAATTTGTTAGAAATCACCATTTAAAATTTATTCTATATCTACAAATAAGGGTGTGAGTGGGTGGAGTTTGAGTGTGGGCTTGGATAAATTGAAGATTAACACCCACATTCACACATCCCTTCGATTTTTAATTTGTATATAAAAGAAATAGATTACATCTTAATTTAAACAAACATACGAGTACTACCGTACTTCATATAAAATGTTTGTTCTTAAGTCACATTTCTATTCATTTATATCTATACGATAAAGATGTCCATTACGACCAAACACTTTTGCTATTGTGGTGCACTTAATTACAAAACAAGTTACCACTATCATCATTTCTGGATGAGGTAAGAAGCGAAAAATTCTCTCCTCATTTCGATCTCTAGTTGGAATAAAATAATGTATATGAATTATTTATTGATTGAAATCTAGACAATGATATGAACGTGTGTCGCCTCATTTTGTCTTTATCATATTTGCTTTGACCTTTAAGCCGTGAAAAATCATATGCTAATATATCGTCTTATTATTCAAGAATATATTAACAAATTCATTTGACTATAACAGCAAATATTTGAGTCAAACAATTGTAGTTTAGTGCTGCAGCACTTATAATCACTGAGGAAAAAAAAACTCTTTTAGATCCACAACAATAAAGATGGTGAATTTGATCATTGTATTGCCATAAAAATTCATTGTCAAATGTCATAGATTGTAAATGTATTGTTAAGTATAACATATTCTCTACATTCTTATGGTATACTTTCTCTAACTACTTCATTGTATATGTTGACATAAGTTATTTTATTTATCATTATGACATGTTTTCAATAATATTGAGCAAAGCTAAGACATTATACCAATTGGAAACATTCTTTTTATGAAGAATTTCTATGATTTCTATTTGTCTGTTTCAATTGGTTATTTTGTGCAAGAACTTCTTATGAACTTGCTTTTATGAAAGTCAATTAAATGAACAACTTAAAGTAGAATGATATATGAATGTGAACTTGAAGAATTCAATATATTTACAAAATCAATAATATTAATTGATCGATCAATCAATTGGCGATTCTGTTATAGATTAAGTATAAGTCTTATCTAAATGATAATTATATGAAAAAGTTGTTATAGATAGAACAATTATTATTCTCTCGATTGATTCGATTCAAATTTATAAATAAATTTTCATCTTCTCTAAAAACATCATATTTAACATTTCATTTTCTAAGAAAGAAATTCATCAAGACAGAGCTTCTTTAATGCTTTGCCTTGCATTTATTTATGTAAAAAAACAAAGAAAATAGTTTGTCTCGCTATAACATTATTTCATAAATTGGCAAAAAAAAAACATTTATGAAATTTATTTATTATCTTTCGTTAAATGATTATTTCGGTTGTTATTTTAGAATTTTGTTCATGATTGTTTGAATGAAAATCTATTTGAAATAATATTGAAAAATAGTTCAATTGACTAAAAATTTAATTTTAAATATACGGATTTATTTCAAAGTCATTTTAAATTATCTTGAATAGATAAATTTCAATAGAAGATTTTTTTTTCACAAGTCATTTGGAGAAATTGATTGAATTGAATAGAAAAATTTTCTGATATATTTTATCTAATTTATTCTAAAAGATTTATTTCAAATGATATTAGATCAAATTTAAGAATTCAGTCGAATAGAAACAGTTCCTACTTAGTTTGACGATTAAATGTTAAGAAAAAATATTAAAAACAATTAATGAGTTTTATTTTCTTGTTTATAGACAAAATAAATTCAATTTTAAAGTCATTTTTTAATTATTCTTTATTATTTGATTGAGTTTACAGGAAAGGTCGATTTTATAATACGAAAGAATTTGTTAATAAATGGGCGTGATATGAACAGATAAATATAGAATTTTTATGATGAGACCATTCGACGAAAAAGTGGAATGACATTGTCAAAAACGTGTTCTGCAGTTCATTAGAATTAGTATTAGATAATTTATCAACTTTTTTTACTAGAAAGAAAATATTGAGAAAAATATTTTCGAATAAATACGATTGTTGATACGACTTCTTTCGAAATGTCCTATTACTTATTATGAAATTATTTATTTGTTTTATTGGAAAATTATTCAAAGAAAACGATATTTCTTTTCTATGAAATCAAAACAAGAAAAAAAAGAGTTTCGTTTTGAATGTCTTCATAGGAAATTCGTTTCTCTGATTTCTTTTATTTCTATATCTGATTGAATACATTATTTAACATGTATCAGTAATAGGTTTTCTATCATCAATAATATAAATACATAAGAATATTTAAACAAGAGTTATTTTTTGTAGAATAAAAATATTTTATCTAACCAAAGAAAAAAATTTTCATCGATTAAATATTGCTTTTTCAATCCGAAAGTTTAAGTGTTATTATTCGAATATATATATATGTCACAGGCAAAATTAAACTTAGACAGAATTCGTTTTTTTATTAGGCACAAAATTATGAATTAATTTTTTTTTCTTTTTCAAATATAGTTATTATGTATAGTTGACATGAGAATTCAGTTAAGTTTGGAATGTGCGAAATATTGAAAAAAAAAGAAAAAATATTTTTATTATGGAAACAACTGAATAAATAATTTATTTGGTCAGATGTTCACAAAACAAAGTTCTGTTAAACATATAAACACAACATTTCAATATGCAGTTTTTTTTTCGTTATGTTTCAATAGTCACTTCCCATCGGAACTAGAAAAATCCGGCTATCAGATTTTTGTTTTTAAGTTTCTCTCATTTTTTCGAGTTTTCAGGCTGAAAATGATGTCTTTGCAGCAGAAATCTACGAATCCAGCCATCGAAATCATTGACCGGCGATGCAACACAAATAACTCGAAACTCTAGAAGGGCCAACCTAATTGTCGGAAGGGATCGGTTCCCATGCTAGATACAACACATTATTGAAACCATGTATCACACTGCAAATTCTCTTTTCGTAAAAAAACTAAAAGAAAATAATTCATTTACATTCAATATTATTCGTAATATCATTAGTTACATAATTTTATTTATTGTCATTAATCATGTACTAATAATACACAAAAAAAGTATGTCTATTTCTGTAATGATTTTTTCATAATACAAAACTATACATAAGTATTTAATTGATCATATAGATAGATAATGATGATAAACAAAAATACATAAAAAAACATTGTAGAAATAAAATTATCATTGTGACTTATCTTTATAATCAAAAGATGTCCCTAATAAACGTGTAGATGTGTTTAAAATTAATAAAAATAGAGAAACAAAAAGCATATGCCGTATTGATTTTATCAATTTACATTGATGATTATTTAAAAAGAAAAATGTCGAGGTATCGATTTTCAATTAATATAAGAACTTAGTATGATCACTAATCATTGATCTGCTTTGACGATCATTTACAAGCTGCGCGTGATAATAGAACCAATGATTAATGAGTAAGCTACGTCAAGCTTGAATTATTTATTTTGTATACGTACTTATATATATATCAGAAATAAATATAGTCATGAAAGTGGGTGAAATTACTTTATTTGAAGAGAAAGATTTTCTTGATTTTAAAAACGAATGTATTAGTGATGAAGGATGGACAATATGTTATGACAAATCATCATCTCGTGTATCAACTAAGAAAAATTCTTTATCAGCATTTGATGTCGTTCGTGTAAGATTATTATTATTTCATGAATCAATAAGAACATGTATATATATATATTAGATTTATTTAGGTTCAATCAGATTTTAGTGATATTTCAGCTGACTTACTTTATGATGTTATACATGATGGTCAATATCGTTCAATATGGGATACAAATATGTTAGAAGGATATGAATTATGTGCAGTCTTACATAATAGTGATATTGGATATTATTCAAGTTAAGGATAAATTTATTATTTTAAATGATTATTATTATTATTAGTTGGTTTGTTTTAGTGAAAAGTCCAGCACCATTTAAAAATCGTGATTTTGTTACACAACGTGCTTGGTTCGACTATGGACGCAATCAAGAAAAGATTATTATCAATCATTCGGTCAATCATTTGGTAGATATTTTTCATCTACCTTTTGTTGCTTTTTTTTTGTATAACAAAAAAAAAATATTGTACGTTTATCTTTAGCGTGAACCACCACGTAAGAATTTTGTACGTGGCATTTCCTATTTAACTGGTTATTTAATTATACCAACGGGACCATCATCATGTAGATTTTATTATATGACACAAAGTGATCCTGGAGGTTTTGAATTGTTTTTTTTTGTTTTTATGAACGAAAATTAATTTGTTTTTTTCTTTAGGTAATTTACCAGCGTGGGTAGTAAATAAAGCATCTAAAGTTTTGGTACCTAAAGTACGAATTTATTTTGTTTTTCTTTTATAAAAATAATTAAAAAAAAAAAAAATTTTTTTTTTGTATAGATAATAAAAAAATTAGCTAAAGCATGTAGTAAATATGATAAATGGAAAGCTAAAAATCAACCATCATATAAACCATGGTTATATCCTGAACAAATGAATGTAGAAAAATTTAACCAAGGTGATATTGGAAAATTTGATGCTAAAGAAACATTAACAACATCAGCTAATAATGATGAAGGAGCTATACAAGAAAATGCTGTTGAAGTTGATAATTATGTACGAGAAGATTAAAAATTGTATTTTTTTTGTTTTTGTTTTGTGATTTATGTCTTTCATTACATATTCAGGCGATGGGATATTTTTTTAATATTAAGCTAGATTATCTTTATTTGTTTTTATTTTTTTCGATGTCATAATGTCCATGTTTTTTTTTTTTGAAAGAATAGCATATGAATAAATTCGTAAGTAAAAAGAACGATAAAGTGATAGAACTAAAAAGAAAAGAAATGGCAACAGATTTTATCAATAACACTTTTAGTTTTGTCAATCGAAGGAATAACAGGAAAATAGAGTAATATGTCATTTCGAAAAATTCTAATTGTTTGTCTCATTTTAATTACATTAAGTGTATCATTTATTCAATTATCATTTGGTTTTTATTATATTAATTCGATTGCCTCGTGTCTACTTCAACATGATATTATGTTATTAATGTCTATTGGTGGTGTATTTCAAGCAATTTTTTTTGTTGGTGCTTTTGCTTTTGTCTATTCAATTACACCGGCAAGATTTAAAACAGGAAATAAAAAAGCAACTAATCGAATTTCACAAACTCTTATTGGTAAATTATTATTTTATATATAAATTTCTTTTTTCGAAGTAGATTTATTATTTAGGTTGTATAACGTGTATAGTTGGCACTTGTGCAATTATATTTTTTATTCTTATACAAGTTCGTATATATGGAAATTATAATGATTTTCAATGGAAAAATTCTACTCAATCAAATTATTGTTTATTTACAATTTTTTATAGCGCTTTGGGATCAATAATTGGTACTTATATTGCAATTATATTGTTTTCTACTGTTACAATTGTATTATTATTTGGAATTGGAGCATAAAAGTGTGAAACTTCGAAAAAAAAAAACTATTAGACTGTGTTGAGAGAAATATTCTATATGCTTTTTCATTAGATTAACAGCAAACCGTTGTATTAAAGTGTATTTTGATTCCATACTAAATAGTTTACTAAGATTATATTCTTTTTTTTTATCAGATTTGTGTAGATTGTGTTTTATTTCAACTAAAAATATACAACTGGCAATAATTCAAGTCAAGTCATACATAATGAAATTTATAATGTTATATACAGATAAAAGTTTTATATGTACAACTGCTCTGAATAACTATATGACAAAATTGTAGATGAATTCAACTTCGATTACATCAGTCATTCTACTTTTAGATTCTTTCCAGTGAATTTTGATTTTATATAGTTGATTTCGAAATATTTATCGCACATATCCGAAGCTCTAATTTGATCAATAAAAACTATGCAATCAGCTGAATAATAATTCCATTTTAAAATTTTATAACAGAATAAGAATACCATAAAGAAAATTTCAATACCTTACGATATATATTAATAAAAATTGAATTGACCACTTGATACAATTTACTGATTAGATAAAAGAACATCGTTTTTCTTCAATCATACTTTCTCAGAAAGAAACAATAACATATTTGTCGAATTCAAATATAATGATAGGTTCTATTTGATGAATTATCTATTGATAAAACAAGTCCTTTTATAATCATTGATGACTAAGACAGATGTCTATTCTTATTCTATTTAAATATTGACAATTGTTTTGATTATATAAGTAAAATGAATCTAGTATTACCTATCTATGTATTCATTATAAAGCAAATAGAAAAAAAAATTCTTGTAAAAATTAGTAACTAATTAATTCATTTTATTGAATAAATTTTTTTTTTAAATATAAATTTATATGATTTTAAAATCTGTTTAGATAATAAAGTATTTCTTTTATATATAAACATCATACTTATATGAATCCTATTAACTGTTAGCACAATCCATGCGGGATTAAAATTTGATTGGTGAGCAAACAATACGAAGAATTTCGTTGAGAAAAAAACGAAAACAATTCAAGATTGGGGGGTGATCACCCTGAAGTATTTTAAAAGAAAAATATCTTAAAATGCTTCTGTTTCGGAGAGATTAGTTCATCTTTAAACTGTATAATATCTTTCATGAGACAAAATAAGTGTATTAATCAGTTTTATTATGTTCTAGAATAAACATATTTCTATCAGACAACAGAATTGTAGATGATATTCGTTCATGAATGTTTAATGGGCATAATTTTAAAATTCGTTGAGTAGGTTCCAAAACTCGATTGGATCTACATTCGATGAATGCTACTCTGGAAGTACTATTTGATTCTTATAAGATTACCATGAAGATTGCCTGAGAAACGTATACATTGCGCTAGTCACCGAATACAAGTAATCAAAAAAAAATATCATGCATCATTGGAGCGACAATCAAGTTTGAATTAAAAAAAATCATTAAGAGTATATTCGGATTCGAGTGTGAAAAAGTTCAATGAATCGAGTCCGAATTCAATAGTGTCTAATATAAATTAAACATAAAATATTAGGAGAAAATGAAAGATAAAATAATGAGTTTTACTTAGAATTGTATTCTTTTAGATACATAAAAATATATTTTTTACCTTTCTAGTATAATAGATTGATGCAACTTTGTTCTTTTTACTTATAGAGTACAATTAAATATTAGTCTGTTTTTTTTTTGCTTTCTATATAGTTCAGACATCATAGAAAATATTCACATACATCTGTGTACAGAATATATTGATAGAAACCTAACAAAAATTATTTTCCTAGTTAATTTCTTTGTTAATGCACTAAAAAAAAAGAAACGATGAATAAATGAAAGTCTCTCAGCAGGAATAACTTGAAATATAATTTCACTTATATATATGCTTATGTCGTTGTTAAGTATGTAGGCAGTAATCGAACGATTAAAGGTGGGAGGACAAATTTAAACGACAATAACAGTTCAAGAAGAAGAAGAAGAAGAAGAAGAAGAAATTGAAACGAATATTGTCCATCATTACATACTTGCAAAGAAAAAAAGAGCGAGAAAGAGAAAAAGATTCTTTTAGAATCTATAACTATAGTGTGAATAATTATAAAAATCATACAATAAATATTAATTAATGGCAACAACCTATCGTTCACGTGGTAAATTAATTCTTCAAGAAAAATTTTCATATTTTTTTATATTTTATTAGAAACTGTACGTCTTGAACCAACATCACGTGTGGTTCCTACGAATTATACTTATGATCAACCAAATATACTTCGACAACAACAACAACAACAACCTCAAGTGTAAATAATCATATATATATATACATAAATTAATACAAAAAAAAAAAAAAACATTTTTCTTTTAGAAACATTGTTGTAACAGAACCTGGTCAAGATGTATGGCAATTTGAACATCCATGGTCAACTACACTTTGTTCATGTTGTACAAACATGAAACTATGTAATATATTATTTCTTTTATTGTTTTATTAATGTATAATTTTTTGATTTTTTTTGTTTTCAAAGGTTGTTTTGCTTTCTTTTGTCCATGTTGTTTTGAATATAAGTTATACAAACAGGCCGGAGAGAATATATGTGGATGTATGTGTCCTGGTTCACGATTTGCATTAAGAACAAAAATTCGTACAGCATTTCGTATTGAAGTAATTATGTCTATAATTTTTACCTTGACATATTTAAACATTACAGAGCAACATAAAGCCTTATATTGAAAATTCTTTGCTTAAAATTAAAAAGAGAAGCCAACATAGATTTCAATTCGTGACACGATATTTCCGCGCACGACATTTCCGCGCCGACTTTTCCGCGCACGACACTTCCGCGCAGCAACACTACCGCGCGCGACACTTCCGCGCAAATGAATTTTCTTCTCTTCTGTTTATGTTGAGCTAATGCTAGAGAAATCACGTGGATTGCTACAAGAATCATCTGGGATGATACGGAAATCACCTATGATGCTACAGGGATCATATATGATACTGGAGGGATTGCCTGGGATGTTACGGAAATCACCTATGATGTTACAAGGATCATATATGATACTGGAGGGATTGCCTGGGATTGCCTGGGATGCTAAAGGATTGCATGGGATTGCTAGAGGAATCATCTGAAATGCTAGGGGATTGCCTGAGATGCTAGATGCACCACCTACGATACTAAACACATCTATTGGTGATGCATGTAGAATCCCAGATGACCCCTTCAGTAACTCAGGTGATCCATCGAGCATCCCAAGCAATACGTCTAGTATCTCGGGCGATGATTCTAGCATCCAGAGCAATGTCTCTACTATCTCGGGCGATGTGTCTAGCATTCCAGATGATCCTTCGAGCATCCCAGGTGAACTTACAAGCAGTTCAGGTGATTCCCCTAGCATCCCAGGCGATGTGTCTAGTATCTCCGATGATGATTCTAGCATTCCAGGCGACGTCTCTAGCATCTCAGATGATCCCTCCAGCACCATAAACGATCAGTCTAGCATCCCAGATGATTCCTGTAGCAATCCAGATGATCCTTCTAGCATCTCAGGTGATTCCACTAATATCATAGATGATTCCTCTAGCATTAACCCAACATAAACAGAAGAGAAAAAATTCATTTGCGCGGAAGTGTCGCGCGCGGTAGTGTTGCTGCGCGGAAGTGTCTTGCGCGGAAAAGTCGGCGCGGAAGTGTCGGCGCGGAAATGTCGTGCGCGGAAACGTCGGTGAACCATTTCAATTGCACATAAAAAGTCTCTTTTTCTTTTTCATGAATATAGAAAGTATTTTGATAATTTTGAATGAAGTAGTAGCGATTCATTCATATACAATTTTACGTCGTACTTCAATAAATATAATACAATAGCAGGAATAGTTTTTTTCAAGGTCTGATGTATAAGAAATTTATCAAAATTTCCTTCGCTTTACTCAAATAAATTGAATTCAGATATTCGACAAGTAAAAAAAAAACAACATCACTAAACGGTTGGTCATCCTCTGATCGCAACATATTGTGGTATACTGATAGGTGTTCTGAGCGGCAATCTACTTCTGGTATATCGGCGGTAGTGCAAAAAACAACGTGCGATATGGGGATATTCCACTTGTTTGATTAGTTAATATATTCGAGTCTTAAGGTCCCTTCAAAAAAAAAGTCGCATTCCGCTAGAGTCATCGAAATTGAAATAAATTCATGAAGAAATAGTCCGTCATTTGTTCTTTCATATGCGATAAGAATTTTTATTTTGCATCTCTTTTTTTCGTCACCCCCTATTCGAAAAAGAAGTCATTTTTTGTTTTTCTTAGAACGTGGGTTCAACGACGTATCTCCAGCAGAACTCTATCATAGTAAAAAATAAAGTCGAAATATTTTTTTTGTCTGAAAGCTTGCGTCGAGGACTAGCTCTCCTGATGATCTCTTTTTAAAATACGCCTTTTTATTACTCTTCACTTAAAAAGTAAGAGTTCAAAAAAAGAGCCATGAGAGGAGCTAGCCCTAGGCACAAGCCTTCAAACAAAAAAAAAATTTTTAATGTATAAAATGAAGACCCACAGTGAAATCTAGGAGATACGATAGAGCTATTTTTGACCCTAGTTTGGTGAATATCTCTATCAAACGTCATGATATAGTGCTGAAACTTTTACCATAGTCATTGCTCACCAGCCCAAATATATCTTGAAAGCTTCGCGTTATTTGGATGTTCTTGGACTGAGATCGATTTTTGAGGGGGATGGCCGTAACCTGTTTCAGTTGAATTCTTTTCCAATCGGTTGACAAATTGTTTATCTTTATTGAATGAAGAAAACTGAGAGACACTCGGTATTAATACATATCTAGTGTAAATAAAATAATAATCATTTTCAATCTTCATTTGAAAAAAAAACTGTTGTAATTATTATCCATTTCGAAACAATTGTTTATTTATTTATTTAGGGTGATCTATGTAATGATTGTTGTGTTTCGACATTTTGTCCATGTTGTAGCGCGATTCAAATGGCTCGCGAATTATATTATCAAGGTCTTTAAATTCGATTATATATATATATAAAAACATGATCAATAAAATATATATTTATTATCTTTCTTTTTTTTTTATAATTCAATAGAAGAAAAAAAAATAAATCTTGATTAAAAATTTTTTTTTTTTTTGAAAAATGTATTTATACATACAAAGTTGAAAAAGAAAAAGCAAACTTAAAGTTGATTAAGAAATTTTTGTGCTTGATAAAGTGATTGACAGGTTTGTCTTTCGAAAAAAAGTTTTTTTAAATTAAGTTCAACACGTGTTAATCTATGTTTATTAAATAATGTTTTCAATGCTGTCCACATATATGCTTGATAAAGTTCATTTTTTGATTTTATTGATTTAAACCAAAGACATAAATGTATACAATTACTTACAAGTAATATTGATGGACGCTATGAAAAATAAATAAATAAATACATATCAAAATATAAAAATCTGTTAGCCGTAATCCTTATAAGATGAATATGTGAAACATGATGAAATTGCTGACATTATAAAAGAAAGAATTAACTAACATAGATTTCTGTTTGTAAATTCCTATCTAATGTCCAAGGCTCTCGATTGTTTTTGAGAGTGGGAGGGGCACACACTATTCATAAACTTTCGCACACAGTCTGTTAACGAAAGCTTTTTAGAAATAGCTACCGAAAATTTCCTAGTGTTTCATAGAAAGTCGTGATCGGACCCAACGGGGGGGGGCGGGGGGGTAGCTTTGGAAAGATTCCCCTATCCCCCTTCAGAGATGAGCCAAATCTCGGAAAAAGTTCCGTACACAAAAACAAAACCGGGGCCAAGGGGGGAGGGGGTGTAGCTTGCGAAGATCCCTCGAACAGCGTCTATTTAAAAATTTTCCAGACCATATTCAAAAATTTGCCGGACAATACTCAAAAATTTGCCAGACAGTAAAACAGATTTTCAACTTATGGAGGGGGCTGGACCCCCCCCCCCCCCCCCACATCGAGGGTCTTGCTAATGTCTACGAATATCAATGATGAAAGATGATAATCATAATAGATTACAGTCAATGTATGACTACCATAGTACATGAGAAGTAAATGACAATGTTAAAGTATTTGTCATCGGTTGTAACAGATGAGTGGTGTGTACTAAGATGTCTGTGAGGAGAAGTGGAGGCTAAATTTTTTCTTCTATACTGCAACATTCCTTTTAGATAAAAAGAGTATTGAAGTATAGGGGTAGAAATTTGGACCCCATCCCCTCTTACCCCCTCCCCCTCGTGTTTTACATTTTAATTGTACTAATAACTTTTAGATTGTGTTTAATAAAAAATACCTTTTCCGGATTTTTTCGAAGCATTGAATATACAAGTTGTTCAATAATTGGAGGTGCTTTTGATGACAATGATGGTAATTTTTCATCATCATAATTATCTTGTCGAAGTAAACCATGAAAAAATGGATTTTTTTGAGAAAAAAATTCATAACATAAAGTACCACTTGCCCAAAGATCAGATTTACTATAATCCAGATAACATTTTGGACCTGGTTGACATGTTAAAATCTAAAAAAAAAGAATAAATTTTATTTCATTTTTATCATAGCAAAAATGAAAATCCAGAATTTACTTCAGGTGCCATTAATGCAAGATTTCCACCTTTAGAAATTTCATCAATTTGATATAAAACTTTTAAATCTGGTGGATGATAAAGTGCACAACCAAAATCTGCTAATACTAATTCACCTGTTTCATTACATATAAGTAAATTATCACTTTTTAAATCTCGATGAACAATTGAATGATTATTTAAATATAATAAAGCTTCTAATAATTGTGAAAAAAGTAATAAACGTTCATGAATATTTGGTTTATTTAATTGTATATATTGATTTAATGTTAAATCATATCGTCTCATAACAATAAATAATGTTTTATTTCGACCAAAACTATCCGGTGATAAACGTGTTGGAATAGCCATTGGATAATATTCATGTGCTTCATTTAATAATGGAAATGAATCAACAAAACATGAATACATACGAACAACATTTGGATGATAAAAACATTTACGTAATGGTAATAATTCTTTTTCCATAGCTTTTTCAATTGCTTCTGCATTTGATTGAATACCATAATTAAATAACATTTTTATTGCTAAATTAAATTGACCAGCTAGAAAGAAAGAAAAAAATACACACACAATCAAAGAAACTTGTTTTTTTTGTAATAAATAGAATATTTTACCTGGTAAAACATCTGAATTCATATTAGACGATTGAATCATACTTGTCGATACTCGATATCGAACTAGAATTATATAATAAAAATTATTAGCATAATTCTTGTGAGATTAAAATGTGAAATACAATATAACTGCTATTGTTCATTACAAGAAGATTGTTTTCTATCAACAATGTTTATCACGATATGTGGAAAGTTCAAATTTTTATCTTCGTTTCAGTCAAAACGATCATTTTACATACTCTGTTATGATACAAAACTCAATTCAGATTTGATCTTCTAAAGAAATCTTTAATTTCATATTCACATGAAAAAAAAAAACATAATCAAACAAAAATAAATTCTTTTTGATGATTAAAATATTTCTATTAGATTATTTGTTAACAATAAGAAAAATGTTTCTAATATTAATTACTTCCGATTTTCTAAAAACAGGAAATTCATTTTTTTGTTGTTTTTGATTCTCAATCGGAACACTATATCTAAACTAGTTATTATCAAAAACAAAATCACCTTCTTTTAATGTCAGTTCATTGAGTCGATCTTCATTAATATCATTATGAATTTCATTGATATCTTCATATGATGAAGATGATGATGATGATGATGATGAAATATTTGATGATTGACGTGAAAGTATTTCAATATCACTTTCATTTGTATGGTTTTCTAATTGTATTTTAGAATTTGATGGTATAGTATTAGATGATGATGATGATCGAAGTCGTGCTTCATATACAGCTGCATTACAACCACAACCAAGTAAACGACCTAATTCATAATCGTCGAGTGATGCTCGACTATATTTTTCATCTTCATTATTAAATTGATCCACGATAGTTGTTTTAGAAAGAAGATTACCAATTTTATTCAATGTTTCATTAAGATGAAAATTATCAATAGATGATTGTTGAACAAATGAATAACCAAGTAGACCCAAAATAAAACGAGAACTACTTGGTGCTAAAAAAAGAAAATAACAAAGAATAAGATCAAATTTCAAAATAGATATTATTTTTTCATTATAGAAAATTCTTTAGAAGAGAATAGACTAATCTTTAAAGAAATATTTTCTTAATGTGCGTGGTTGTTCTTTTCTTTTCTCTTCTATTCGTTCACTTTATATATATATGTAACTGAAAGTAACATGACTACTTTTTGTAATCTAATGCGTAGGAGAAGAGAAGTTAAAATAATTCGAATCGGAAATTGTTTTTCTTACACTTTAGTTAAATACTAGAAGTTATTTAAAAAAAAAAAAAAACAAGATTGATTGCTTCATGAAATTTAAATAAATTAGTAACTATACATTTTATTCAAGAAGAAAACATACGTCTACTCTTATAGATAAATATTACATATAGAAAGAATAACAATGATGTGAAATATTCAAAGAAAAAAGAGAATGTTTTAAAACTAATAGAATAAATACTTTAATTTAAATTTGTCTACTCAATTGACAAGATTAAAAAACTTAGCATATTTGTTTCGTCTAATGGTTATATCGTATAAAACAATTGAAAAAAATACAAACCAGCAAAAAATAATCGTCGTTTAATTTCATTTAAAGCTAAACGAAATGGCATTAAATGTGAAAGATTTTGTCCATTTGATGAAATAAAAATTGAACGATAAATTGAAGGAAATAAATAAAATCTTTGAGGATGTTTTGAATAAATTTGATGAATTTTATTCAAATGAGGTTTTTGATTATTAATACGATTAATAAATATAGGTTTAAATGGACGAGAAATAACTGCTCGACTAAGTCGAACAATTAATGAAGCTGTACCTTTAAATACCATTATATATAAAAATCTACAACAAATGCAGATAAAGACAAACAAGAAAAAAAAATTATGAATTATATATTTCGAAATAAGAAAAAGAAGAAAACAACTAATTTAGAAATAAATAAATCAATGTTTACGATATTTTTTTAATGATTGATTTTTATCTAATCGTTTTGATGAAATACGATCATGAATTGTTTTATTTACATTTAATTGATTATCTTTTGGTAAAATTTGAACAATACGTTGATTATTATTATTATTATTATTATTATTATTATTACCATTATTATTTTGTAATGATTCATTTGTACGACGTTTTTTTATTAATTGTCGTAAATCAAAATTATCAGAATTTAATTTAACTGTTATTGAAACAGGATGTTCTTTAATAGATGAAGATTTTTTAGATTCATTTTCTTTTCGTTGTTTTATTTCTTTTGAAGATAATTTATTATGATTTTGTTCATTATAATTAGAAGTTTTTTTTAATGATTGATCTTTCGAATGATTTATTATTAATTTTTGTTCATCTTGTATAAGTAAATCATCATCTTGTATAGGACAATTAACAATAAGTGCATCATCATCATTATTATTTAAAATATCTTGTGGAAAACGTTCATCAATATCACTAATTATTTGTTTATTTTTTGTTTCAAAACGATAATCTTTATCATTTTTATCTAAAGAATTTGAACTAATTGATGATAATGATGATGATGATGAATAAGATCTACTAATAGATGAACGACTATAACTAGATCGTCGTGATGATGCTGATGATGAAGATGATGAATAAGATCTTGATGATGAACGAGAATTTCGATGAGTTGGTGAATGATCATAAGTATTCTTTTAAATAAAAAAGAAAATAGACTATTATTATTTTTTTTTTATATAAAAAATTAAATAAACAAACTTTGCGTTTCTTAGAATATAATGTTTTAAGTGCAGCTGTTCGTAATGCTTCTAAATCATCATCATCATCATTATCATTATCATGATAATTTTTCTTTGTTGTTGTATTTGTGACTTGATATGAAGAATAATGAGGCATTGAAATAATAGATTGTAATTGTGTATTATCCACACAAAAAAAAATTATCTGTTGTTATAGAGTAATATGATACAGATGTCTATGAACAAAAAATAAATTGAAGTTTTTTTTGTTTAGAAAATAATTTATTCAAAAAGACAAAATAAAAATTTTGTCATGACAATATTGATAATATTTTGCAAACTCAATTTTAAATTGACGAATAACGATAGAAAACTAATGAATTAGATTTGATATTAATAGGAACCAATCAATAATTAGTGCGTCATTATATTCTAGAATGATTCTTGTATATTCTATCGTTATTGATCGACATCTATATGATATACAATCAGAAGAATTAAAAGATGCTTACAAATATTAATTAACAGATGGACTTCTTACCAACGACATCTATATTAAATCTTGAAATAATAAGGTTGAGATAAATTTATAGAAATTTGCTCATAATAGGAAGTGTCTTATTCGATGTCTAAATTATTGCATAAGACTCATTGTTTCGTAATCATAAATTAAATGCATACTCACGAGGAAACATTCCCAACTGTCATATTACTTTTGACTCGAGCGTATGCGCATCATGTAGGTCCTAATTATCTATGAATGCTCCAAAAAAAGTTCGTACCGCTATCTTATTACTACTGAGATATTGCACTTTTACTGTATGTTTAAGACAAAAAAAATCGTGGTCTCTCTCAGGAACACTGGAAAAACTGAGTTTCGAATTTTAACTTGACACTTTGTACAGTAACAGGTCTCAATGAGAATAGTTTATTGTGAAAGTTTCAGATCTTTTGATTGCTCCTAATCTGAAATACGAACATCGGAATCTACGAGTGTATATAAGCTATTTTACTATAACTATATCTTAGGATAGGAACAACAAAAAGATCTGAAACTTTCACAATAAACTATTTTCACTGAGGTCTATCTCCATGCAAAGTTTCAAGTCGAAATTCGAAATTTTGTTTTTTTAGTGTTTCGAGGGGGACTACGGCTTTTTTTTTCTTAAACGTACAGTAAAAATGCGATATCTTGGCAGTAATAAGCAAGCGACACGAACTTTCTTCAGAGTATTCATAGATCATTAGGGCCTATATGATGTGCATATGCTCGAGTCAAAAGCGATGTGACAGTTCGGAATGTTCCCTTGTTAGATGAATAAAGTACGACAAGAAAATGGTTGGAACTTGGAAGCAGGAATCTATTGATTGGATAGAACTAGTAATCGGATGCGATCACTGAATTCTCGCCGAAAGTCCATGGATTCGGGTGATTCTACTGTTGATCTGAGGATGAAACTCATCGATTCGCCAAATGAATAGTTTATTTATATACTTCTAGTTATTGTTCTAATTGAGAGATACAAAAACATCTTCATTATCATCAAAAAGAAAGGCAGATATATATATACACGACGTACAACAATCATATGAACGTGGACTTCCTGTTTCTCAAAATTTAAATTGAGTCATTCTACGCATTAGACAACACTGAGGAAACCAACTCCTTTTCTAGGCATCAACATCAAAATTTTTTCGATTTTTCATCCTTAATATAATCCCAAAGTGTCTTCTATGGAAATTCATATAAATGAGCAATCTTCGTTGTTAGTTAGTACGTTTATTAAATTCAACTATTAAAATCCCCTATCAGAAAACTCGCACTACAATGTTTCTATTCTATACAAAATTCTTCTAATGATGAATACAAAGAAAGTTCATAATCACTGTCGTTCCTCTGTCACAATATGTTCAATCGAGCTGGAGCTTTTTTACAGGTGCTAGACACTGTTTGGGGTGTCTACTTTTCTTTTTTTTTATTTTAAAAAATATTGCTCTGGTGATTTTTTGGTAGATTTCCCAAAAAAATCATGTGTTTTTGGAAGGGTACATTTTGTATTTTGCTGTACTAATGGAGATATATTTATCCTGAAAGTTTCAAATTTTTCTGATGAGCCATTCTCCTTAAAAGTTATTTTCTCAAGTAGTATATAGCTGTTCGACTCGACTAATGAAGATGATGAAAAAAAAGTAATATTTCAATTTGATAAAAATCAATTCGATTACAAACGACATCTATTGAAAATTCTTTTGATATTATAAGGAAAAAAAGTGAGTCACGGATGATGGACTCGATTTGGGTTCACCCTGAATTTAGTTTACTTCTGAAGATTATATATGATTTATTAGAATACGCTGTATTGTGTATGCAGGTATATATCAATATCAACTTCACTAACAACAAAATTAACAATCATAAAAAGTTTACAAGAATGTTTTTTTATGTTGATTTTATAAAGCATGAAATCTAATGAATAGTATATTTCAAAAGCAAATAAAAACAAACAAGTGGATTCAATGGTATTCTTTAAATACATACTACTACTACTCTGATAGATAATTTCTCTAATTTTTATCCATCTCGACTAGCTAACAATAATAGCATAAATTAAATAATTCAATCGAACTGAAAATAGTGTTTTGAAATATTTTTCTAAATTGATCATATTTGATGATTTTGTACTTTAAAAAAAATATTATGAATAGTTATGTTTATATAACGATATGAATCATATTTGAGAAAGACGTCATTTTTTTCCAATACATTAAATAACAAGCAAGTCAAAAGTTTGTTTAGACAGAAGACATTGAAAAAAAAGTGCTTCAAGTGCATGTTCGTTCTTTTTTCTTTTTTTTGTCTACCATTCGCTGATGATGATACAATTCATTTAAACTACAGAAGACAACATGACGACATTCATTTCAAACGAGAATCAACTAGAAACATTTGAATATCTACATGAATCTCGAGTAAGAATAAAAGTCATGTGGTTTTTTTTTTGTAAAGATAACCTTTTCTTTTTAAAAGAAAAAAGTAAATGAAAATCTTCAATTAGATCGAACATATCATCATAAAAATAAAAGTGAGTCATATAGTGTCTAAATTTATTAAAAAACAATATATATATTTTTTATGTAGTCATGTCAACTGATGATCATAGTATTGATCAAGCATTATTATCCTTAGACAATTGTGTTGATTCTAAACAAGGAAATATTCTTAATACAAATACAGCTGTTTCAGTTGCAGATACATCTAGTGAGTTTATTTAATTAATAGATTAATCAGATTATTTTTTTTATTGTCTTCTAGCATCTGTGGCAGGTAGCCTTAATGTTTCTACTAAGCAATCGTCTTTACTTTGTAAAAATATTCGTAATTCAAGGCCAATTGAATCTGATGAAGAAACAATTGATAATGAAAATCATATTAGTGAAAGAGACGAAGAAACAAATAATGTAACATATGTTAAACAATCAACAGGTAAGATCATAGAATTATATAAATAGATCTGACAATGGAACGTCTCCAACTGATCGGTTGCTTTTTTTAACGAAAGCGACTGTAATATTGGTTACCAACCATGCTGATTTTGAATATGACGATGAGAAATCCTCTTAGGTTTTGCTAACAAACTATTCGCTAGAATATATTTTTGACCTGTCCAAATTATATAGACCAAATCGTATTGTCTAAAAATCAGTAACCTTTTCTGCCTCGAATCGGTTTTTTTTTGCAGAAAGTATAGTCATTTTAATTCATACAATAGATACATATCAATAATTAAATATAAGAAAAGATTATTGACAACTCGATATTTGAAGATTTCTCATGATCATATTCTAAATCAACATGATCGATAATCTATAGTCCTCGTAGTGTCTAATGAGAGAGCAATTGAACAGCTGAAAATTTTCCAGATCAATACCAAAATATTTCAATAATTAAAAATATTAATCAACAAAAACGACATATTATGATAAGTTATAACCATTCATCAATAAAAACTTGTCGAAAAATCTATGATCGCCTTGTAGTAAATATACATATACATATTATATATTTTGAATATATATTCTATTATTTTTAATTATAGAAAAAAAATTATAAAGTATGGATGGACCTTGATCATATGTTTGATGATATACTTGCTGCAATGGCACAAGCAGTAGAAAATTCATATATTGTTCTTCTTTGTATTAATCAACAATATTATGAAAGTGATTATTGTCGATTAGGTAATCGAATATTTATTTATTTATTTATTTAAATTATCAATTGAATAATTTCTAGAAGCTGAATATGCTGCTGAAAATCATATTAAATTTATTCCATGTTTAATGGAAGAAGCATTTCGTCCTAAAAGTTGGTTAGGTATAATTATTGGTTTATTCATATATTACAGTAATCATATATTATTTGAATCTTATTGTTTTTTTTCAATCTATTTAAATGAAATATAAGAATAATAAGTAAAGGTTCAAATTTTCATATTGATTTTTCTTCATCGAATAATTTTGATCAATCATTTGAACAATTAATTCGTCAGATTACTTATATTGAAAAACAATTATCTTTACAACCTCGTAAATTTTGTTTTTTTTTCTATCAATTTAATTAAATTTCATTTCGATAAATCTATATAGGTCGTACTCTTGCTTCTAACTCAATGATAAATCCAACGATAGCAACATCATCATCAATTCCAACAACAACAATAACCGATAATAAAAATTCATATAAATTTGATTCAATTATTCATGAATATAAAAGAATAATAAATAAGACAAATTATCATTTGAATGAATTAAATCGAAATGAATTATTTGAACTTATTATTAAAATTCGTCAAGAATTATTTCATGAAACAACAAAAATATTATTAGATAATAAACAATCAAATGAACAAGATTATAAAGAATTTCTACAACAATTTATTAATCGAACACTTAAACAAAATGAATTATTATTAAAATTAATTAATAATTTAACAAGACAACAATCTATAGAACAACATAGAAGAAATAATTTTAATGTCGATAGTATATTTAAACTACTATTTGGTATTATACTTTTATGGACATTAGTTTTATTTTATCAGAAATGATAAAATTTTTTTTGTTGTTGTTGTATCTTGTTAATATAATTGATTTTATCTATTTGTTGTAGAAAGTATTGAATATTTCATTGCTATCAAACAATTCTCATATGCAAAATTTATAAAAATAGCTTTTTAATATTTCCAAACGATTATTTCAGACAACTATAAAATCAAACATAAGTATTAACAATAAGGACTTCTTCAGTGGATAAATTGCATTTGAAATGAGTCTTATTTGATCAGATAAGCACTAGTGAGACTGAGGTACATCCTAAAGAATTCGTATTTATGAGTCTTCTTGAGTGCTGACTACTTTAGTGAAGTTTTCAACAAAAACATGGTGCTTCTCCTCAGATCAGTTACGATGTTCTGAAGCACAAGAAGATCGCAGCATTTTAAAAGAAACACTAAAAGAGCGATTAAGAGATTTATCAAATTGTAAGGATTTCCTCACAAATGAACAGTTGATGATAAATCATTTTGACTCGTACAGAAACCAATCTACATGTTTAGACTGATGATGAAAGTTATGATTGAAAAGAGTTTTCGTAATTGATTTAAATATATCAAAATATGCAGTCTTTATTTGAAAAATATTTTTGCCAATATCTCATACATAAACAATAAAGACATCAATTGCGAAGTCTTTTGAAACTTTTGGAATATGTTAAAGTAACACAAGATTTACAAGTAAATTAAATCATCGAAATATTGTTTAAGATATTTTAAAAGTAGAATATGATACAAGGTATCTAAAAGTTTTCCAGATAGACGAATTTCCATGATAATAACCAATAAAATCTGTTCGAACGCAAAAAATGCTATAGTTTGTAACTGATAATCTTTTTTTGTTTTGCACTGTCACTCACGACCGTTATTCAGTTGATAGGTAGCTAGTTCTATTTGCCGGTAACTAACAAGTCATTTTCGTTATATATAGATTTAAGGTTTACTAATTCAAACGATTTCTAAAGTTTTTCTGATACTCATGAAGTTCGCCGTTTCGTCCCTCAGGATATATATGTAATACTTGAAATTTTCTTTCCCAATTGTACATAATTCTGAAAAAAACCTATGGAAAAGTTTGTCAGCGCAGTCCCTTTGGGGCTAATAGGTGGAATGCACATGTGTTCTTAAACCTCATCATGCTAATACAAAATACATACAATAACAGAAATTTGTTTTTAATGGTGTTCTATTTTTTGTTTATCTTGCTGCTATCTGCTCGCTATTTTCTTACTTTAATATTATTATTATTATTTTAACTATTGATTTAACTAGCAAATAAACCTGTTATGCATAGCCGTGATATCTACAGCAAGTCTCAACACATTATTATATATCTCGATAAACTCAAAAACATAGATATTGATTATTTTCCAAAGTTATAAGTTGATCATATGATAATTGTAGCAAATCAATGCATTATCCTTAACATTTTCAATATAAATTTTTATCTGCGCAAAAATCTAAATCTATAATATTTACAAACGTATTTCAATCATTCAAATTCCACGGAAGATTTTAGAACAGTCTAAATCTTGGCTATTGCCCTCAATTGCTATGAAAATGTATTCAATGATCATTGATCTTTCCCCTACAATGGTCGGAGTCGCAAAAACTCTATTTTTCTTCGACAAAACATAACGTATGAGGTTCACAAAAGTTCGATTATTTAAGATAATCGTTGATATATATATATATGTTCACTTGCTAGCTTTAGATAAACAACTAAGTTCATCTTAAAACAAAAATAATTACTTAATGTTGTTCTGAATTTTAATTATATAAAAAAGAACAAAAAAAAAGATCATTCTACAAAACACAAAAGTATTTTCTTTTCTTTCTGAACTAGATAATTCTTACACACATATATATATATGTATACAACAAAACAAAAATGAATTAACAAGTTAAATTCATTGCATTCGTTATATTAAAAGTTCCATGTGGTTGTTTAAGTACCATAATTGTTACTCGAATATATATTATTGCAAAAATAATTGTACTAATAAGAACAATTGTAGCACCACCTATTTGAATAAGAAGAATTGAACATTGATATGATGCTTCACGTGATGGTTCATTTAATTTTGTTATACATCGTTTTAGATAAAAATCAATATGTAATAAAATTTCAGTAATCGTAAACATAAAAGCTAAAAATGAGAATTAGATCATTTTAATCATTGAATTAATAATAATAAAAATATTTTATTTTATTTTTTTGTTTTACCAACAAATTGTATAATCAATACAGTTGACGTTTGATGACGTTCACGATCAGTACTAATCACTAATGATAAAAAAAAAAACTACATTTTAATTTTTATATTATTATTTTACAAACCAAGTACAATAGCAGCTATTCCAGCAAGTACATAAATAAATCCACACCAAAGACCAATAGCAATATCAAAAATTAATAATTCAAGTATAAGAACAATTAATCCACCAAATATTTCAAATAAACCTAAAATAACCACGAATATAATCGGTAATTTCTTTTGAAATGGAGGTGTAAATGATCTATTTATTGAAATTTCTTTTGTAAGAGAAGATGAATCTGATTCATATGATACACAAGCAGATTGTTGAGTATTATTATTTTCATATAATGATCGTATAGGTGATGATGATGAAACAATTGTTTCATATGGATAAGATGATATTGTCGGAATATCAGTATCTATTTAATGATATATTAAAAAAAAAATAAAATAAAAGAATAAAATGAAATGAATTTTTGAAATAATAACTTACTTTCATACATTGAGTTGTAAGTTTATAAATTTTATCAAGACGATGAACGACATGTACTAATCGAAAACAAGATAAAAATAGTTATGATAGATATCCATTTGATAGAATAAGAAACGAAGAAAACAAAAAAAAAGATATATCGAAGTTCGTTATAATAAGAACGCAAATAAAACACACGTGATTTTATTTATTGCAGAATAAATTGTCGATTTTTCGTCAATTAAGATATGGACAAAAAAATTTCTCAAAAATTTTCCTATCAATATATCTTTAAAACTACTTGAGTAATTTTAACAAATAAACAGTTATTTATTTAAAGAGTATTTTAAATTGTACTTACTGTGTAAAAATAAAAGTTCTAATTCAAGAAGTAAAGGAAATTTTGTTACATGCGATTTTTACTCCTCAAAAAACAATTCTTTTATGTTGAATAATCAGAACTTGAAATATATTTCTTTCGTCTTGTATATTCGTGTGTGTGTGTGTGTATGAACGGGACGATTTGTTGTGTAAAGAACCCAAATAAAGCGAGTATCACTGTCTCACGGATACTTCTCTCAACAAGTTCGTCATGCACATAGAATTCATTAGTGTTCAGTCTTTCTATTTTTAATTGTTTTGTATTTTGTCTGTATACAAAAAACTTTAATGATATTCTCACATTTATATATCTTTCTTATTTACTAAGCTAGAATCTTATTTTTGTATACAATAAATATCCTTTTAAAATGACTATTTGTTTGTTGAAATTGTACTTTAATTAAACTTTGTCCGATAAGATAAACTTGATGTTAATTATTTAAAAATTTTTTCTAACTATGTTGATCTCGCATATGTTTTAACTTGTGGTACATTTATTCCAATATAGATTATACATTAATCAATAATAATACTTGATTTTGTTACTAGATTGATAAAATTCTTTAAATGTATACTGATTTTATAGAGACAATATAAATGAAATTGACTATGATTATTATTCAATGTTGATATTTGTTCAAAATCAAATTGATCAACTTCTGGATAAGATTTTAAAAAAATCAAAAAATGTTTACATGTTTTTTTTTCTTTATTTCCAAATGATAAATATAGTAATAGATGATAAGAACTTCTATTGAATTTAGATGAGTTTTAATAAATAGTTATTTAAAATAATTAAGTAACGATCATAATTTTTTAATATCACATAAAAGAAAACACAAAATTTATAATAGTGAGAGAAGATATTGGAATAAAACGAATTTCTGTATTTGAGAAAGAAATACTCCTATCGATTCATTTATTTTTCTATGAACTTTTGTCTTTCATTTTGATCATAGATATAACTCTTTGCAGTATTCCGAACGGAAATGGTCATGGTAGCACTAGTTTCTATTTTGAAGAATATTAAAAAAAAACTACATGAATTTGCATATAATTTTAGTGTTCATTAATGTAAACCTCAATGAATCTAATGGGTTAGCAACACGAATTTAGTCACAGTATTGAAATTCGAAGAACTTTTATAAATGCTATCGCAACAGGTTTTTCTAGTTTTCTGAATATTTATGATTTCTACAGATTTCAATAATTATTCATTATTTCCAGATAGTTTCATATGTTTTAAGTCTGTAGAAATTTGAAAACATTATGTGAGAATCAAAATATTGTATTTTCTCTGAATAGAAGTTTAAATCTAGAAAGTGATATAAGAATAAAGTGTTTCAGAATCATTATTGAAGAATGATCGAGTTCTCTTTTCAAGACTTTTTCCTATAAAATTAAAGAAATAAACATTGTGTGTCTTATCTTAAATTCGTAAACATTACAAACATCTAAATCTAAATTGATTATTTTATTAGCAAAAGATAATTCTATATATCATATAGTCATCTGCAAATAATGCAATTAAATTCATAAACAGTACAAATTTTATTTTATATATCACATATTAATGAAACCATGGCTAAACCTGCTCAACTCTATCAATCATCGATTATTAGTCTTGAAATAAGAGAAAACTCTTATTTCATTATCATATATTATTGTTTATTGATTTTATATGAGAAAAGTTTATTGTACAAACTAATCCTTGATTGTGTAAAAATGAATTATTTGAATTAATAAGATAGAAATTTTTCAGTTATATTTTGACATCGACAGCAATGATTTACTTGGTTAGACTGATGGAATGTTGTACTATCAGTATTTGATTTGTTTGAATTCTCTTAGGATCTGTGTAAGAATGGATAAGATCAATCGAATCTCAACTAGAACAATATGTTTGAGTTCTCTAGTGGATTTAGTTACGAGTAAAATGAAATTGTTTGACATTCGTCACGCAACCAAAGTGTCAAAGTTGTTAGTGCAATTTGTCTAAGATTAAAATATAAAAAATGATATAATTTTTGTTATTAGTAGAAAGACATGTTTAACGAGAAAGCATTACGAATAGTTGAGTGAGCTCATAGTTTGTCCATATTCAACACATGAGAAGACTAGTCGAAGATAAAATGGATTCGTACTCCAGTCTTGTATTTCCAAAACAAGGACTATTTTACTGAATTTTCGAACTCATAAAACAATTTCATGTCTTAAATTTTGATACTGGATAGTAGAGTGTGGGTATGAGTAGATAAGAATGAAGAGAAGCCCACACCGTAGTAACAGAAGACAAATTGAGCATAAGCATACGAGTCTTGTACAATGCCAAGCCCGAATGAATTCTAATGAAAACTTTTGAAAAAAAACAGCAGAATTTAAACAGAATTCTGTTACGAGTAGCAGTAGATAAACATCGAATATGGTTGCTAGGATGGTAACATAAATAGACTAGAAAAGAATAGTACTGTCTTTTGATCACTACCTCGTGTAAATTATTTATTTTTGCTGTATGGCAACCGTTTTTTTCCTTCGATTTCTATCTGTTTTGTCTTCTTTTTTTCGTTTTTTTCTAAACGCATGGGAATGTAGGTGTGGCTGTTGGACGTCCGCGTGATTGTGCATGAGGAGAAGATGCACACCCACATTCCACATCCATCGAAATTCACATCCGCACCTCTTAAACAAACTTATGTCGGATAGAGTTCGTCGAATTCAAACATTTTTGAACCTGAATTTGAACATTATTATCAATATTCTTAATAAAATTTTCGAATTCGATATGTCTTAGTCATTCCACAGATACGAGAGATTTTTTTTGTCACTTATTTGTGTTCAGTGACTAGTAAAGTCTATGCATTTCTCAAGTCATTTAGCAATTATGGTATAAAAATTTATGCTAGATTTGATTTTGACTTTCAAAGTGGAGTCTACTGGATGGATCTCAGTTAGACATGTTTTTGTCGGTAAATAATAGAAAACTTGACAATAATGCTCACACCTACATCTTCATCGATCGATTATTTCTTTTTATTTGAAAAAAAACGTAATAGATATGTGCGACTAGGATAGAGTAGATCTATAGGTTTTTAACTGATGATCATAATAAGGTACACGACATAATATTGATAATGTTTATTTTTCGAATGTGAATTAATGATTAGCATGTAGTTTTTATACGTAAGAATGGTATGATGCATGGAACAGACAGATTTGACAAGAATTATTATTTATTGATAAAATCAATATCGATGGAGCATTATGATAATTAGAATAGAAAATAATACTGTAAACATTTTTATATGATGATGACGCTAGATAAGGTTTCTGCTAATGAAGATCGATATATATGAAAATGAAGACGCGGAGTCGATGGTATTATAGATATCAGTGAAATAATATTATTAATTGATAATTGTTAACAGATGTTTTTCGAGATTTAGAATCTATTAGTTTTTTTTTCTAGAGCATACACTTAAGGTATATTGGCAATAGCAGGATACTGCCATATACATGCTTCATTGAGAGACCAAAGTTTCGACCTGGACCGAACGTCCGAAAGGAATTTCGATTCATCCTTAAACTGAACTCATTGAATCTTTAAAAAATCTAACTTTTTAAATTAAGCACTATATAGATATCACAGTGCTTAGCATAACGACACAGTGCGCAACGAGTTGGCACAGTTCTGAGAGTATGAGTATCGTTGAAAAGGAAATCTGTACATACCCTTATCAACACCCACACACCCATACCCAAAACTGTTCTTTTTCGGTCCATACAAAGCTGACATCTTTAGCTTGTTGCACTCAGAATATATAAGGGTTTTCCAGGGATCCTCGGTCTTGGTAAGTTGGCTTCTGATCACTCGGAAATACCTTTACAGAAGAGTGAATAGACATTTTTAAGTCTAGAAGTGACGTTTATTTTCAGTTTAAAAGCAGTCTGAGATATCTATAGGAAGAGTTTCAAAATATCAGCTGTTTAGGTTATATAGTGGAAAAATATGATATTAAAAAAAAAAGCCTATTTTATTGATCACAAATCTCCTTTAAATAGAAAATAAACATCACATCTTGACTTAACATGGTCAGTTACCTTTCTTTAGAGATAATTTCGAGTAATCAGAAGTCAACTTAACAAAATTGAGGGTCTCTAGAAGATCTATATGTCTGTTGAACAGACTATATTAGAGATATCAGCTTTGTGTAGATTAAAACAGAACAATTTTCTCTATAAAATAATCGTATTATACGCCAATAAAAAGAATATCCATCTTAATCTTGCTTTCAGAATGTCTATCTGGAACTGGGCAGCTCAGTCAACTGTAAAACTTTTTTCTATAGCAATACAAAAAAATCAACACGATGTTCCTTATCAAACGCTTCACTGTTGATAAATGACTTGCAACAAACTCATGTTTAATGTATTACTTTGTAGAGACACACGTTTTATTATTTTTGAAATAATTTTTGCTTCTATTCTAGCTAGTTTTTCTGCGCTGAAGTTCGTGCTAGGTTAATTTACAGGTCTCTAAAAATGTCGGCTCAAATTTAATACAAAAATTGGCAATTTATATTCGAAAAGAATATGAAATTCTAATTCTAATCCAATATTTTCCAATTTCTACAGATTTCTTTCAGAAGCTAAAAAATGAATGAACATTTTAATTCAGTTATTTTTCGATCACTTGCTGATACGTATGACAGTTCAACAGCTAATATATTTGATCGGGTTTAATTAACGCAATATTTCATATTTGAATGAATGAGCCCAAATTTTATTATTTTTTTCACAACAACAATTAAAAAAAAGATCATTGAAACTTGATTTAAAATTGCCGCTCACTTTGATTATGGTCAATGTTTGATATTTTCCATTATTCAAATAAGTCAAACTGTTAAAAATAAATAAAAATGTATCAATTAAAATAAAAATTATGATATAAAACCAAGGACTTACCATGCCTGGATCGCTACCAGGAGTTGAAGGTGTGCTAGTGCCTGAATTTACAACATCATTTGGGTCCGATGGTTCTGTATGAACACCTGTTTGGTTGTGTGTAGGTGTAGGAGTTACCATAGGTGTACTTGTCAATCCAATACCATCTATTTTTTTCAAGCCCTCAGCAATAATTTCGTTAACATCTCTACCTTTGCAGGCATCGATTACTTTTTGAGCACGTTGTTCGTCACATTCGATTCCAACACTACCCATAATCTTGGCAATTGCAGCAACATCTGGTGATGGATTACCACCTAAGATAGCAAGTAAATAAGCTGCGGAGTATCGCATATTGGTATGATTTAACTGTGCAATAACAATCCACCAACTACGAAAGGTTTAAATAGTGGAAGTATTGCGAAAGATAAAACGAGAATTTCATAAGTTTTGATAATATTTTGACACATGGGAACACTTACGTAAGGTATACTCAATGGATTTTTTTTTATTTGTCATATAAAGTGTTCTTTCGCAATCTAGGAAGAAAAAGAATGTCTACAACACAGTCATCAAAGAACAATCATCAACGAGAGAAAACTATGTGGAGATGTATCAGAGGGTGTGAGTATGGGTGTGGAATTCAACTGAGTTTTCAAGTTTCAACCACAGAAGGACATACCCGACATCTCTCTCGATGTGGGTGCTGCGAAAGGTCACACACAGTGTCTCTGCCAACGCCATAAGTGTCAAATCCGAAAGTTGGAATGAACTATTCATTAATTTCATGAATATTTACTGGAGAGTAAGCGATTTTCCCTGCCTAACTGACCTTTTATATCAGTGTCGCACCGTAGGGATGCGAAGTGCCTCCCCCCCTAAGAGACGCGACCCATACGCATCTCTGTGTACACAGTAATTGAAGTGTCATGTTTGCGCCATGCTAGCTACACTTTCTCCGGAGCTACTGGTTAAGCAACGCGTTCGCTTACAGATGCTACCTTGCCGTTACACTCAAGCATCTAAGGCACATCCTGTAACATTCCAGGTAACACTTGTACGATACCAGGTAGTGCCTATGGCATCACAAGACATACTTGTAGCATCTTAGATAACATCGGTAGCACTCTAGATAGTATCTCTAGCATTCCAGGTGATATCTGTGGCATTCCAGATAATACCTCTAGCATCCCAGGAAATAGTTGCAGCATTCCAGAAAGCATTTAAACTTGATACTTGAAAGTTAAAACTTGAAACTTGAAAACTCAATTGAAATCAAGTTTTCAGTTTGACATTACTGACCCACACACTTCCACACCCACACTCTTACAGTAAGAAGCATACTAAATCTTAAAATAAGATATTTGTACGGTTTCGTAAGATCACACAGTATTCATTTTAGAAAAACCAGTTGTCGGTAAGAACTTGTACGATCTTATACGATCTTCGTCAGATTCTTCCACCTGACTAGATAAAAAGGTGATATTCTTCATCAGCTCGATAAGCTCTATCGAATGATGTATGATTGAAAATGATCTTCTTTTTGCTTCTCTTTTGCCTTCGGTGCACCTTATATTCTATTGTTATTTAATTCTCGACTAAGTTGATTACTGAAAAGGAAGAGTTAAAAATAACAGATAGAACGATTCGATGCGTTTTATTAGTTTCCGGGAAACTCATTTTACTGCGAGGACAGGTGTAAGAGATTTGCAATGGACATAATGGCCGTAATGGGCGTAATGGCCATAATGGCGATAATGAATAATGTGGCCATATTGGCTGTTATACACGATCTCATGCGATGTTCCATTAGCCTTTGTCGGTGAAACTCCTTTCTCCGCGCCCACACTTGGTGCGATGCTGTGTGAGTCCTTCTCGGTGAAATTCCTTTTTACGCACCCATATCTGCTGCGATGTGATGTCTGTTAGTTTTTTAGAATTTAAGCATTTTGAATACATGTAAGAGCTCGATATCTTTGATGATCATATCCAATACGACGATTATGGCCATTATGTCCATTACGGTCATTATGGCTATTTTGTCCATGGGCACCTTCAACAGAAACTGAATGTGTGTTTCGGAAACTGAATTCAGTTTCCAGAAATTGATCAGTGTCGGGAAAATAAATGAGTTTCCTGGAAACTTATATAACGCATTATATGGATAGAACTTGTCTTCTTCATCAAGAGAATAGGTCGATCTGTTTTCAATCGATTTATTAAATCGTAAAAAGCAAATAATTTATATTTATTCTGAAATATGAATTGTAAAAAAAAA